TTATTTATTTTTCATGCACCCCTCAACTCTGGGTCTTAGCTCGGCCACTGATTTCAATACTTATGTTAGATGTATTTTTCAGTGCTTATGTTATGGATTTTCAATAGTGATGTTTTGTATTTTCAATATTTATGCATATTTCAGTACGTGGATCATACAGAGATTAGTACGCAGTGGCTTTTTAGTATTTGTGTATTTTTTTGGTACTTATATTATAGATTTCTAGTAGTGGTGTTCTATATTTTTCGTACTTGTGTTATGGGTTTTAGTCATGATGTTCTATTTTTTTTTCCAATATTCATGTATTTTTTCAATATATGTGATATGGATTTTCAATAGTGATATTCTATTTTCTCAATAGTTATGTTATGTCTGTTTTCATTAGTAGTGTGTTATTTTTTAGTACCTATGTCATGTGCATTCAGTACTTTAGATAAAAAAAATTCGGTAGTTTAATTTCTTGTATCCTTTTTTCCTATGGTATTTGTATATGTTGGTGACAAGAAATGGTGAAGGCAAAAGGAAACTGATCAAAGAAGAAAATAATTGAGCTTTATGTGTTTTAAATTTATGTATTGGTTGGTGACTCATTCTTTAAAAAAGTGAGGGCACAAATTATAGGCTTCTCTTTGTTAACATTTTCTTGCCTTTTTTTTTTTGGTAAAGTGTTTTTGCTACATTTAAAAGAATGGCTTATGTAATTGATATTTACTAAGTTGTTAATCTCAAAAGCTGTGTACATATTCATTTTGATTATACACAAAATGATATAATTATAATCTTGTCACCATTTTGTTTTTAGTAATAATGGAGTCAGAGTATAAAGTATTTAACTAAATGTTACTTCAAAGCACAAAAAAAAAAAATTACACTACCAAGTAAGTTACTTCTTTTTCATAAATTACTCTCTTAAAAATTATAACTGATGTTGAGAGATTTTAATAGTCAATATATTATGGCTTTTAAAAGAAAACTTTGTGCTATGCAACACTTAAAATATTATAATGAGAATTTCACAAAACCAAGAAAGCTTGCATGATTTCAGAAGTGATTCTACCATGATTTCCATCCTAAATTAGGGGATTTTAATAATAATAAATTATTGTTATAATTAAGAAATTATGTTTTAAACAATGTTTTCAGAACCGGACCGGACATTGAACCAGAAAAGTCAGCGGTTCACAATTCGCATGATTCAACCGGTTGAACCAATGGTCCAACCGGTGATATAATAATTAAATTAAAAAAAATTATATATGTATATAATAATTTAAATATAAGAAATACATATAAAATTGCTATTTAACTTAAAAAAATTAAATATTTTAAGTTTATCACGACTTAACAAGCCATATGATACAATATAATATCAAATGATTAAAAAATTACTCATTTTTTTTAAAATTTGATAAAAAATAAAAAAAAATTTTGAACAGTCCGGTTTTTGAAAATCGGATCCGGTTTCCGGTCCGACCGCCGGTTCAAAACGACTCAAACCGGCTCAACTCTTAAAACGATTTTTTTCTTTGAACCAAATCGAAAACCACACCGATCAACGGTCCGACCGACCGGTCCGGTCCGATTTTCAAAACAGTAGTTTTAAATTTAGTATTAGGCAATTTAAAATAACCTTTTTTTTTCAAATCAGTTCCCAACATTTCACAAGTGACCCTAGGACGCCCCCCACAATTTGATTGGCCCTTGAAAAAAAATTTGAATTTTTTTTATTTTACTAGTAAAAAAAGTGAAAATTAATACTAGCTACCCATATTTTAAGCATTTTTCATTTCTGCCCACCCATATGTTCTTTTCTGGATTCGTGCCTTGTTAGGGGATTTCAATATCCATACACTTAATCATTTACGCACCTCTCAATATTAAAGATTTCGTAAATATCAATTGCATCAGTGATATTTCCAAATGTAACCAAAAAACTTAAGCAAAAACAAGAAAATGTCACAAACAACAAAGCCTATAATATGTGCTTTCACTTTTTTTTTTTTTTGCCCCTTCCTTGTCGTCTGGCCTTTGAAGTTGACGTCAAATTTTTTGAAACAACTTGATTTGGGGAATAAGTCATCAATCAATACATCATTTCGTTGCATATAATATTCATTTAATTTGTTTGATGAATTTCTTTTTTCCTTCCATTTCTTCTCATCTGCACGCACACATAACACAAAAAAAGGGAAAAAATTACAAAAAAAAAATTTTATATAAGGTAGTGAATATACATTAAGTAAGTGCTAAAAAAAATTATTACTAGTGAAAACTTGTAACATAATTATTGGAAAAAATAGAACATCATTACCAAAACCTGATAACATAAGTATGGAAAATGTAGAACATCACTACTAGAAATCCATAATATAAGCATTTAAGTACTAAAAAAAAAACACACAAGTACTAAAACTCTAAAAGGCCACTATGTACTAATAATCTATATATGATCCAAATACTGAAAAATATACATAAGAATTGAAAATATAAAACATCACTATTGAAAATCCATAACATAAGCGCTGAAAGATGCATGTAACATAAGTATTGAAATATAGAACATCACTATAAATAATTATAACTATTGGATTTAGTTTAACAAACTGTTAAAGAAAGCATGATCATCAAATTTAACTATTCATGTAATGAAATGCAAGTAGGGGCAGCAAGATCTAGAATGTAAATGAACCCACTAATTTTTAATCTATATTTTGTACAAATTGTGCAGGCTAAATGCAAACAAGTATTGAAAAAAGTGAAACATCACAAATAAAAAAAATGGCATAAGAAATGAAGGAACAAGTGGCAAAATTGCATAGAGAAATTGAAAAGAAATTAAGACGTGGAGTTAGAGAAAATTTCTAGCATGCAAGTCACCTTGGTAGTGGTGGAGAGGTAAGGAATGAAAGAAGATGATAATGAGCCGAAAAAATTTAGAGATAATGCTTCAATGCCTAAATTGATTTGTTTTATTCAATTGATCTCAGGGGCATTTCAATCCAATCAAATTATTTTAAATTACAAATACGAACCATGGTTCTTAAATGATATTTCAATAATTAAAGATTTGTAATTATAATTAATATATTTTATAAGGTCTGTAATTATCATTTTCCCTAAAAAAATGCCTCGGTCCCACAAGACACTAATGGGATCCATCGAGGGGGCATTTTCTCCCTAGAATTTTTTTTTTGTTGGGTAAAGAACTCTCCTCAGAATTTTCTTGGGAGAATAATGATGATGCGATGGAGGCCCATTTGAATATATGGGCCTCTATTTGTGAACCCAACAATTCGTATATGGGCTTAGTGGTGCTCCAGATGCATTACGTTGCCAATCTTTTAATTTGATCCAAAAAAAAAAAAACAAACAAATAAACTGGCTTCTTAAGTTGTAATTGTAAGTTCCTCCAGGATTGACTTTTTTTTTTTTTTGAAATACAAGATCACCAAAATTTCATATAGGAAGATATAAAAAGGAAGATATAAAAAGTCAGGTCATGTCATATTATAAGTTGTTTTGAAAAACCTGGTGAGCAGCATGTCAGCAAATTTATTAATTTCTCTGAACATGTGATCGATCATGACAAAATCCTCTGAAATCGATTTGTGTTGTTCTTGCATCCAAAATTTTAGGATTTGTTTGTTTTTTTTTTCTCATTTTTTGATATGTCGACATTGCATTTAAGTTGTAATGATAAACACAGACAAAAATTATCGACATATCAAATTTAATTTTTAAAAAAATAAATATATTGAATAAAAGATCATGATTTTAGAATTTTGTCAACATGTTTGAGTTAAAATATTGAAAAAACACTTTATAAAATTAAGTAAGAAAATTTATACAAAGTTTGTGGATTAAAAATGTGTTTTTCCCTATATTTTACAATAAAATTATAATCCTTATTATATTGATTCCATTAATAAAAATTTAATCTTGACACAAGTTCGTTTATCATGCACAGCCCTGTTACGCAGAAACGAGCATTGGCCGGCGCGAAAAAAACGAGGAGCCACCTGATACATGTGCTTTATAACACAGGGACCCACATCCGATCCTCGCGAGACCAGGAAAGTTTTTCGGGCTAACCAGTGGGGGAAAAAAAGATTTGGATCATTTACTTACATTATTTAAATTGTTAAAATTTAAATTAATAATTTTAAATTATATTTCATTTATGATTAATAAATGATTAAGTTTATCTAAATTATGAATATTAATATTAATATGAATTGATTCAAATGGCATTGGTATTTGCTGGAAAAAAAAAAACTTCGATATTTTGTATCTACATAGAGCCGGGAATAAGGGTCGGGCTTGGAGGACCGGGTTTGAAAGTTCTATTTAAATAAGTTCGGGCTTTGAAAATAAATTTTTTTTAAAGTAATCGGGCTTGAGGGCTTGGCCCTGATAAGCCCTATAAAATAGGGCTCGGGCCCGGGCTGCCCTTCAAGTCCTGTTATATTATTTTTATTATTTTTTTTAGTAAAATACGTGTTTGAAATCAATGACCTGCTCACCTGATCCTACACACATTATATTATTATTAATTTTAATTTATTCTAAAATTAATTTAATCTAATTAATAAATATTAGTGTATAGTATAAAAGTTATGATATTTTTTATTTTTCTATAATTATTATGTTTGTATATTTTTAAAAAAAAATGAACTATTTTTTAAATGCAGATTTAAATTTTATTACTAAACTTCTAATGTATGTTATTTAATTTTTAAAAAATTATGATGATTTTAATTTTTTTTAATTTTAAAATATTTTAATTTATTTATAATGTTTAATTTTATTTTAATTTTTTTATTTTTTAAGAAGGAACTTACGGATCTGGCCTTGAGTCCTGAATATAAAAGCCGAGACCGCATGTATTTTCAGCTCTATATCTACAGTCAACGAATCTAAATCGGAAAAGAAAATCGTGACTTTGACGCCTTTATTTTATTTAGCCAGCCTCGTAATTGAAGTCTGGGCATCAATGGAGAATTTCTCAATATTTCATCCTTCCATATTCAATTCAATTCTATATAACTCCTAATTCCATTTCAATATTTTCGGACGTTTAGCTGATATAATCTCCCATTCTTCTTCATTATTTTTTTGCTTGTTTCCACTGAGTTCAACTGCCATGGAGTTTTCTGGGACTCTCAGGTTCCATCCACATCAGGTATCTCTGTTCCCCATTGACGACCCTTTCAAGCATCGAATATCCATCAGACCCAGAAGGAAGAAGGAACCTAATCCGCCATTCCCCAACACTTCACTCACTGTATTAGCCAAGAAATTGCCAACGGAAGGCGTGAGCGACGAGTTACACGCCGTTGCTTCTCAGAATCTGGACTTTGCGGCCTCTCGCCGACAGGTTCGTGCCGCTTTTAAGGAGTTCCAACAGCAGCTGGATCATTGCTTATTCAAGGTTAGGTTAATCTTGATCTTGTTCAACCTTGAGCTTCAGTTATGGCTATTTCATCCGCTTTATTTCTTTTCTTGTTTTTTCTTTGTGATTTTTTTTTTTGGCGTATGGCATTGTTCAAGAATTGCTGACGGGTTTTTGTTTCTTCCTCTCATGATCTTTGATCGGCATATGGTAGATGGCTCCTACGGGGATCAGAACTGAGGAAGTAAGATGTTCTGCTTTACCTGATTAACAAAACTGGATATATAGCGTATTCCAAGTTTAAGGATTGTTAAAATACTTCCAATTCTTGGTAGTGGTACCAAAGGAATTCGAGGGGCATGGAAATTTTCTGCAAAAGATGGATGCCAGAACCTGGAGTTCCAATCAAAGCAGCTTTGTATTTCTGCCATGGGTATGGCAGTACTTGTACCTACTTCTTTGAAGGTTTGTCATAACGCCATTTGAGAATTCATTAAAATGTCCGATTTCCATTGAGATTACGCTGAGTAGTATTACGCAATTTGAAAAATTCAGGTATAGCCAAGAGAATTGCTGCAGCTGGATATGACGTTTATGCTATGGACTATCCGGGTTTCGGTCTTTCTGAAGGACTACATGGTTACATACCGAATTTTGATGATTTGGTTGATGCCGTTATAGAACAGTTTACATCAATTAAATGTATGATATTTTAGCATCCAAAGTGTCATCTTTTAAGATGATTGTTGTTGTAATATTTTCAATTGTCAAAACACAAAATGTTGCTGACCATTCTTTCTATTTTAACTTACAGCAAAACCTGAGCTGAGAAGGCTGCCTAAATTTATAATGGGGCAGTCAATGGGTGGAGCAGTTTCTCTTAAAGTTCACTTGAAGGAACCGAATGATTGGGATGGGTTGATCCTTGTAGCACCAATGTGTAAAGTAAGCCCGTGCCTTTATATAGAAATTTGATGTTGAAGGACTTCTGTATTGTAATTTCCAAGTTTCTACAACTTCAATATGAGCTAAATAATAGCATAGTATGCAGGAAATAAGTTAGGGATCTACTCATTAAATAAATGTTTTTTTTTTTTTGAAAAGTCTACTTTCCTGATCAATAATGTTCATGGGAATTCACTATTTGCTATAGGGATTATTATTCATGTATTCCAGCTCAAAATTCTTGGAAGTATTACATTTATTATCTAGCAAAATGTGAGGTGCTCAATCTGATATAGGACGTCAATCTTAGATATCTCAACAATTATGTCTGAAAAACATGGCTTTAATCTTGGAATCATTTCCTGCTCTTCTGGATTTTGGCTTATTTTCCTGACTTTAGAAGGTCGTTACTGGAAATCAAATGAAGTGCGGAAATGTCTGAGTTAGTCAGAGATATTTACCAGTATTTTGGGATTAAAGATATTATCAGTGACTAGCTGTGAGAATTTAGAGTTGCAAATTGAATGTTGAACTGGGAAACTAGTTTGCAGGAGGCAACAGAAAGTGGTCTAAGTAGAGATAAGTCTTACATTAACGTGCAATTTAGGGATCAATTTGTTATTCATTTGTAGAAAATTGTAAGAATCAATGTACGCCTTAGAAACGTCTAAAATGGATTTTGTTCATGCAAACATGGTAGGAGCCTTGGATCTGTCAACGTGCTGCCAAGTAAGTTAATATTTGGAACATGGGATCAGGAATTCCTTGACTGTGATTGGGAGAATAGTCTGCCAAGGGCTGCCGTTTCCTTAGTTACAATATTCCTGGTTTTAGTTGTCTGTAAGATATCAGATGATCAAAGATCAGGTCCTTTAGCCTCCAAGTGGTGATAATTAACCCTCTTTGATGGATTTCATTGTGCCAGGGCTTGGTACTCCTGGCTAGACAGAGCTTAATGTGAAAATAGAATGAACGGAGTGAAAACCCGATTCTTATTTTTAACTTTACCCATCATGGCCATGAAATGTTTAGGATAGCATTCAGTGGGATCAGTTTGAGGATTTTATGCTTCGGCAGCACCTTTTGTACTGTTGCATAATGGATTTGAGAATTTGAACTTGTAATCATCATGTTCTATTTCCATGAGAGTAATCATGGACATTTTGATGTCAAACTAGGTCATTACCAGTCTGTTTGTGCTTGAATATTGTTTTGAGAAGTTGGATCCCCATTGAACTCTTGATGACTAAGTTAAATAGACCTAATATCTGAATGAGTCGTACAGATGTAACTGCTTCTGGAAATTTTACTGTTTGATTTATTTTTTCAAGATAAATGTATGAAAAAAGCTGTTTTTTCCCCCTTGGATTTTGGTGCTCTAGAGCTTGTTCTACGAAATTTCTATTGTTATAATTTTGACCAGAGGCTTGGCTTATTGACGCATATGAAGCACTTAAGAAGTCTGAACATCAGTAAGATAAGGAACACACAACAAATAATGTGATAAATCTCTAATACAACAATTTCAATTTCTGTAATGAAGAATGACCATTCATTTCTTTTCAATTATATCTTACTTGGAGAGTGCATTAGTTTATCTGTTAAATGAGAGCTTGACCAGGTGATCTTGTGTTGTTGCCAAGATTGGAGAGGGCTTGATACCATCACCTGCAGTTTTGAAGGTGTTAAATCTTTTGTCAAAAGTGGTGCCGGAAGCAAAACTTTTCCCAAAGAAAGATCTAGCTGAGCTCTCCTTCAGAGACCCGAGCAAAAGAAAATTGGTTGGTTACTCTTTTACAATCATGCTTCTCTTCCACCTGAAATCTTTCTCTGCATGTCAAATGGACCACATTTTGATAACTCATATACTGTTAGGAAGTGATAAGTTAAGCTTGTAGCTTAATCCTAGCTTGTAATTCTTTTGTCTTCATTTGTATCTGAGCTTTTGGCCATTATTGAGCCTGTGGCTTCAAACAATTGGATGGTCTTGGTCTCACACCAACATGATCCAAAGCATAGCATCTTTTTCTTTTTTTCTTTTTTTTAATACAAAGGAAGGCAGAGCCCTAAGAAGGAAAGGAACAAGGTTAACCCATAAGGGTCAACACATTCCTAATCATATCGATCCTCATGATGTCCATGCATTGTGGCGGTGGTTCTCCAATGATCATCACCTTGACGTTCATGTTTTGAGCTTCTTTCGCCAACCAATCATCACACCTATTTGCTAATCTACTGATGTACTGATAGGATATCACCTAGTCTCGCATGATTGATCCTCTAATCTCATATAGCATCTTCCCATCGTTGATTTTATTGCGCACTTGGCTTTGACAGTTACTCAATTTCAAGATTTTTTTTTTTCTTTGGGGGGGGGGTGGTAGTGCTTTAGAAATTTTCATACAGATATCAAATGGAATCTTTCACTTAATGCAGGCATCATTTCAGGCATTAGATTTTATTGATTCATCCCTACTCGATACTCTGTAACCAACAATATATTGCCTTTCCTGTTCTAGCAAAAGGAGCGGAAAGATCAAAACTTAAATGATTGTCATCAGACAAATAATAATAATAATAATATAGACCAACATCAATGTAGGGAAATCTCCACCTCTTTCTGCTTTCTTGTTTCTTTTCTCATAAAAATATTTTCTTTCTGTTCTAGGCCGTGTACAATGTTATTTCATATGATGATCGAACGCGGTTGAAAACTGGCATGGAACTTTTACGAGCCGCACGGGATATTGAGTCACAAGTGCAGAAGGTTGGTTTCTGCATCTGGTTGACTTTTGTTACTATATTTTTGCCTTGTGGTTATTTCAGATTTATTATGCACGAATTGTAGGTTTCAGCTCCAGTGTTGATTATTCATGGGGGAGAAGATAAGGTGACAGATCCTGCGTTGAGCCAATTTCTTTATGAGAAAGCGTCGAGCGAAGATAAGACCCTGAAGATTTATGAAGAAGGGTACCACTGCATTTTAGAAGGCGAATTTGATGACAGAATTTTCAGTGTTCAGGATGACATTATCTCGTGGCTTGATTCAAGGAGTCTTAAGTGTGAGGTCCATTGAATACTCTGTTCGTAGATGTAGTAGTCCAAATGCAATAACCAGATAATAAGGAAGTGATATTTTTCCCTTCATTTGACGTATTACACCTTGGTTTAATATCATTTTCAACTAACAAAATTGCCATACATGATAAAGTAATGAGTGCTCATACCCTAAAATTAGCATTCTTCTTAAGTCTGATTTTTATTGACAGGGTTTATTACGGGCCTGAAAACTCGTAAATTATTTTGCTTTTAACACATATATAAATTACAAAGTATATTAATTAAATATATAAACGACAACCTATATTAATTAAATATATAAACGACAACCATAAATCTTCAAAGTGTAATCATAATACTACAGATTCCAAATTATAATATAAACCATATAAATTCAAATTGTCTATAATTCAAAATATAAATATTTTTTAGTTTTTGTCTCTTTAGCTAGAAAAATTTTGCTCCCTCCATTAAAAAATGTAAGGTATTTTTTAAGGAGTTAAATGTTTAAAAATGTAAAATATTTTTGTCTTTTGAGATATAATTATAGCTTTTTTTTTCAAAAGTGTTCTTATTAATACAGACTTTATATTTATTATAGGGTATTTAATAAAAATAAATATAGAAAGATAGGGTTAGTTTAAAAGTAGGTAATTACTTTATTGAAGAGTGAGATTTAATTAAAATTACCTTATATTTTTAAACGGAGGGAGTATAAGTTTATATGCTAAGATGAGCCTAAATTCTTTTTTGATGGGCTTCTAAAGCTTGAGCCTAAAAGGCCTTCTATATGACAATCTTTCAATTTTTTTTTAAGCTTGGTTTTCAATTTTTACAAAGCTTGAAAGGATAACTCGAGAGTTTTAGCCCATATTGATGACTCTATATTTAATTATCAACATTTTTCATGTTATAAAATAATAATAATCCCTGCTTTTTAGTTTGTTCAAAATAATCTCTTTTCCAATGTATAGTATCGATTGAATTGAATGACATAAAGTAAAAACCTAAAAACTATAAATTAAAAGGCAAAGGTATATTTTTGCTCATAAAATATTTTTCAAGAAATATCTAACATTCTAAACTATTGGTTAAAGCATTTATATACTTAAAGTAATTAAAACAAAACATTTTTGTTCTAGCAGTAAAATTTCCTAACGGTCAATGTTGGGAACTTGATGATAAGGGCAAAAATATTCTATTTTAATTATTTTAAGGACAAAATTGCTTTTACCAATAATCTAGAGTGTTGCATGCTCATTAGAAAATACTTTAAGGAGAATAATATACTTTTGCTCTAAATTAAATATTATTTTGAATATTAATATGCCAATACATATAAAGAATATACCATCTAAGGATCCTTGCAGCATTTTAATAGTAAAGAAGGATTTTAAAAAATATGAAATATCACTGCACCTTTTGGGACTCATTTGACAAAAAGACTTACGGGAGGGAAGACTTAATTACCTTTATAGCATTTTACAAGTCTTGCTTCGGTGTAAACAACAAAGTATTCGAGTATTGACATGTTACCATACGTAAAAAACAAGTGGATATTTGTTCAAGTTTTTTAACCAATATACTACAAACACTAAAAAAGTTTATCGAGATGCTGCATCGTAGAAAATATTTATCCAAATGCTATACTAAAAATCGTTTATATTTTTTGTGGGTATTCAAAAAATTTTATAATTAAAAATTATTTTTTTAATAAATGAAAAGTGAGGTGGATGATTTTAGCTTTTTTATTGATGTGACATTTTTTTCACCGTTAATTATGAGAATATTTGCTTTTTTCTTCTTGCTTTGCTTTTCTCGCATGATTCATTTAAGCATGGGATAAATGGCCACTTACTATTGTTAATGCTCCTTTAACACTTAAAGAGTTTGATAGAACATCTGAGTACTTGTAATGGTATTAAAGACATACCTAACAATGAATCCAACGTATTAGTAGTTATACTGGGTATGTAATAAGTTTTTCACTTTCTTCCACTGGTACCATTGAGTAGAAATGGGTGAGTTGAAAGTGATGGTGGTGGTGGTGGTACGTAATGAGGCTCAAATTGAATAAATATGAGATTGACTAGTATGTAATGATAGGCTAGCATATAATGAGAGTAATTAAAATTTTGAGACTCTTGTTTCCCTACATTTTCATTTTTAATTGGTGGTTGAGTAAATAAATAGCTATCACATCATTTGCTCAGTCTAGCTTAAGAAATTTGTAGATAAGGCAACTCAACTTTTGATAAAGTATGCTGAGGGTTCCTGTTAAATTGTTGCTCTCTCATTACAAGTAAGATGTTACATTGGTCGTGAATAACCCTATTTCGATAATCAATGTAGTGAGAGCATTTTGAATGAATATTAATCATTAGCTAGTATAAATCCTCTATTATGTCAACATAAAATAAACAAAAAGACATTATTACAGTATAACAATTTTTTATAAAGGAAAAAGATAATACTAGTGGAAGAAAGTGAAAAACTTATCACATACCTAATATTACTACTAATACGTTGGATTCATTATTGAGTATATCTTCAATACCATTGCATGTATTCAGATGTTTTATAAAACTTTTCAAGTGTTGGAGGAGCATTAACAATAGTAAGTGGCCATCTATTCCATACTTAAATGAATCACACGAGAAAATCAAAACAAGAAGGGAAAGTAGAGATTCTCACAGTTAATAGTGAATAGGATGTCATATCAATAAAAAAGCTAAAATCGTTCACCCAGTAAATGATTTCACTTTTCATTTATTAAAAAAATAATTTTTAATTATAAAATCATTCTTGGCTTGAACGATTTCTTCATACCCACAAACTCGTTCTCGATATAAATGGTTTTCGATGTAGCATTTGCGTAAATATTCTTCACGATACAGTATTTTGATAATTTTTTTACTATTTGTAGTATGTTGGTAAAAAAGCCTATTTGTTCATGAACAAGTTACTAAAACTAATAGGTGTAGTTTTCTTTTACAAGTTTTGCTCCGATATAAACAACAAAGTATTTTGTTATTAACAAGTTAGAGTACGTAATTAACAAGCAGACATTCATTCATGAATAAGTTACAAGAATTGATAGGCATAGTTTAATTTTACAAGTCATGCTTTGATATAAACAACAAAGAATTCGGCTATTGACAAGTTACCTTATGTAATTAGCAAGTGATGTTTGTTCATGAACATGTTACAATAATTGATAGGCTTAGTTAATTTTATAGTGATATTTGTTCATGAACATGTTACAATAATTGATAGGCTTGGTTAATTTTACAAGTCTTACTCTGGTATGAACAAAAAAGTATTTGACTGTTGACAAGGCCTATATCTTGTTCATGATCAAATTATCAATACATATGGTAATTTGTTGGTAATCAAATGTTTTGTTGTTTATATCAGAGTAAGACTTATAAAACACTATAGGGATAATTTAATCTTCTCTCTCAAAATCTTATTTTCATGTATGTCCCAAGGGGTATGGTAATATGTAAGAATTTTTGGGTCCTTCTTTAATGTTAAAACGCTATAGAGGGCCTTGGATAATATTTTCCCATACTTATAATACTTCCCCTATTCCTTGAAAGAGAAGTGTTCTTATAGTCATTTATAAGGAATAAAAACCTTTTGTGTGGTAAATTTATTAAAATATTCTTTTGATATCCTCATTAAAAAGAAAAAATTGTAATTAATCACATAGTATTCTTCATGTAAGATGATTTATTAAAGTTGATTAAATGATGGTATTTCTAGAAAGAAATTTATATTTGCACCTATGTTCTGATACATGTGTGTTCAAGTTCAACCTTGGTGTAGTATATTGACACGCTCGAATGTATATATATAACAAAATATAATTACAGATCCAAATAAATTAGGATTTGAATTTGCAATTTATAAATATTAAATAGATATCATAATACTATAAACATCCCACACTATGTTCGATTGTCAAAGCTTCCTTAAATGATTCGTATTCTATGAATTGGGCTGTTTGACCCCTATTCCTCTAGTTCCATTAGTCGATTTTGATTATATTTTTTCTCAAAATTTCAATTAATTCTATTTTTTATTTTATTTTTGTTTTGTTATATTGTGTTTCGTTGCACTTAAACCTCATTAGGTTGTTTTAATGGAATCTCCTTTCCTGTTGGCAAAAAATAAAATTTAAAATAAAAAGAGAGATAGAGTGATTCCCCCACACTTCAATTATCTAGTGAGTAAAATTGAGACTTTTACTTATAAAAAATTTTAAAATAAAATTTGGCCCTCATTTCACATTTTATTTTCAATTTGACCCCATGCATTAGTTCTAAATTCTGTTCTTACACACTATGAGCCCATTTATTTAAGCTTTTCTGATATAAAAAATAAATTATAATATAAATAAAAAATAAAATAAAATAAAAATATATCTGCCATTTTATAATTAGCTCCCCACCATTTCCTCTTCTTTGAACCAAATACTATGAGGGTTAGTAGTTGGATTTTTTTTATCAATAAAAAATACACTCTTGTTAACAAAAACAAAATAAACACAAAGACATAGTAAATATTTTATATACCTTTTAATAAAATTAAATCACATTTTATTTTTGTTTTTATATAGCACTAGTAAAGCACCTCTGCGGTGCACGGGTAATATATGATAGCTTTTTTAAACATGTGACACCCATCATTTATGACCAAATTTAATGCCTAGATTTCTTTAATAAATTATGTAAAATTATGAACCCCCAGATATTGATGATTTGGGGGAATATGATAAATATTAAAATTTTATAAACAAATTAAATTAATATATATATATGTGTGTGTGTGTGATGAAAATTTAATAACAATACTTGCATACATAGAATAATCTTAATTAATATTATATGCAAATTAATAATGAAAAAATTCTATATTAATTCAAATGATCAATTTTAATTTATATATTTTTAAATAATTTACTTAAAATAAAAAATACTTATAAGCATATATAAAATCAAGTATAATTCTTTTTTTATTAATGAAAGCTTAATGTTAATTAAAAAAATATTTTAATGTTCTAAAAAATTATATATTTTAAAAAGAGTGGAAGA